TGCGCTAGCCTCCATTCTTTTTGGGCACCAATAACACCGGCGACCCGCAAGGTGAACAACTCGACACTATCATTCTCGTCTCTAAGAGCTCATGAACCTGTTTCTTGATCTCTTCGGACTCCTGTACTGATGTGCGGTATAGGCCTATGTTTGACAAGGAACTCTCGTCGGTCAACATAATCTTATGCTCTATACCTCGCCGTGGTGGTAGTCCCGTGATTTCTGAAAACAAGTCTGCATACTTGGCCTTCAAACTATCAAGATCTCCCTCCTGAAGCTTGCTCAAGGTGGACAAGCATATCCTACTTAGCTGCTCTTCATAAGGTCGAATGAATAACAAAACGAACTTCCTGCCCGCATTCACCAACCTCTTAGCCTGAGTCACCGTCACCAAACTCGTCTCCTATGGAAGAGATGTCGAACGAAAAATGAATTGTGCGTCATCCTTGGTGAACGTATACTTTTGGGTCAGTCGATCATATACCGCGTGTCTATCCCACAAGTAAGGATTGCCCAAAATAACTTGGCAAACATCCAACAGAACCACGTCGCATGTGACCTCGTCAATATACAATTCATGGAGTGCAAATCTAAACGTACACTGGTTCACCACACTCAATCCCGCTTCCTTCTGAATCCACCCTAATGGATAGGGCTTCGGATGTTTCACCGTCTTTAATTCCAACTTCTGTACTAATGCTTCAGATATCAGGTTCTTCTGACTCCCTGTATCTACAATGGCATCCACCAAGCTGGTCTTGATCTGTAACTTCAAAACAAAGAGCTGCTCCCTCGGGTCTTCTTTTGCGGCCCTTTTCCCCGTCACAAGGTTAAGGTTATTGTTGGGTTCTGTCATTCCGAGAACCTCCTTCGGACCTTGCGCTATTACGTATGCTTTCTTCTCCTCTTTCTTCTTCAACCCTTTCGGCTTCAGATGATGGTACTTCTCCCAGCAACGATCAGTCACGTGTCCTGTCTGCTTGTAGTGATTGCATGTCAATCATGTCTTTCCCGAATCATCCTTCTTCTTCTCTTCCTTATGTTGAGAGCCACTAGACTTGCCTCCCGACTGTTTGGAATCACCCTTCATTTCGTTGCCCTTCTTCTGTTTGCCCTCAATGGCAATTGCCTTCACGCTCGCCTCTGCAATCGTCTCGACCGTGAACAGCTTTATTTCCTTCCGGATATAATCATTCAGACCCGTCATGTATTTCATGAAAATAGAGTATTCATCTGTTGCGATGTTTAGAATCATCATCTGCTGCTGGAACTCCATCGTATACTCTTGAACGATCTGATTGAATCTTTAGCGCAAGCCGTACCACTTGTACCAACGCTCTTCGAGGAACCCCACAGGATAGAACTGTTTCCTCAATAGCTCCTTGAATTTGTTCCACGACGCCGCCTTCTTTTCCTGTTTGCAATAGGACTTCCACCACGTCAACGCATGCCCCGAAAACTTCAACGTCGCGAACACGATCTTCTCCTTGAATGAATATCTGTAGAGAGTAAATTACATCTCCATACGCTCAATCCAATCATCGAGCTTCTCCACATTGACACTCCCATCATAGACAGGAATCTTCACTTTGAAATCAATCTTTAAGTTTTGATAATAATTCTTACCCCCTGTATGTGAAGCAGACTTAACAACCTCGACCTCTTCTTCTGAATCTGATTTCTCGCGTTCTTCATCAGACTCAACAAGTTTCTTCTTACCATTCGAAAAAGATTCCTCTTTTTTGTCCCCTCCATTGATGAGACCCACGAGCTGAATAAGAGTAGTCCCGATCGTCTCTATCTGCTTCTCCATAGCGTCAAATCTTGCTGAGTTATCTGTTTCAGACATCTTCTCCTTATCTTCTGGACTTCCTCCAAGAAAATAAGGATCTCGTCAAGCTTCTTGTACTGTGATCGAGTAAGGACCATACACAGGATGCCCATTCACCGGATCTGATGCTCTGATACCAACTTGATACGAGTTGCCGTGCGAGCACCTTTGATCGCGGAATTATCAAAGGTGGGTTGAGAAAAAAATAATAAGAACACAAGAATAACTCAGATTTTGGACGAAGAAAAATACATTCTCTAGATTATGAGTATGCACTTTATAATCTCTCACAATCTCACTCTAGGATTGAAGAACAAGCTCTCCAAATCTCAATTATAATTTTAATCTCTCTTGATTAAACTCTCTGATTGTTTTAAACCCTAAAACAATCCCTTATATAGGTGTACAAATGAGGGTGGCAAATTGGTAAATAACCAAGCCCAACCCAAACAGGAAAACACGTAAATAGTCCTTAACGAATCTGGAAAACTCCGATGAGTCGACTCATGAACAGTCATGAGTCGACTCATGACCTCATATGAGTCGACTCATAACTGATAAGTCGACTGATCAGAAACTTTTGCTAACAGAGCTTGATTTCTTGAGTCGACTCAAAACTATATATGAGTCGACTCATGACTGATGAGTCGACTCATAAAATGATGAGTCGACCGAGCAGAAACTTTTGACAAAACGGCTGCACTTCGTGAGTCGACTCATAACAGGCATGAGTCGACTCAACCTGATGAGTCGACTCATGTACATGTATGAGTCGATTCACGAGCTGAAAACTGGATTCTTCGAATCTGCTACTTGTCGTCTCGTTCCACGCTCCAACCTGCGTTCCCCTGTACTGTTTGACACCTCTATTCTCATGCTATCATGAGAATCATCTATCCTCAAGCTCCCATAAGGATCGCTAAGTTCCGAAGAGAAGATACACCCGTATCATTTTGAGAAACCGGGATGGCTTCTATTACTGTCAAAATAAGTACATGTTTTAGAACCTTTTGCAAAAACTTATGGCTGGTATGATAGCATATATTAATGTTCATCTTATATAGCATACTTACTGGCGTAGAACTACATAAGGATGTTCACTTTCTATTATTGTCAAAATATAGGAAGCATATATGTTAAGAGCTTATCAACGCTAACTTATGGCTGTTATGGTAAAATATATTGATGTTCGTCTTATATAGTATATATACTGGCATAGAACCACATAAGTGCATTTTGTGTGTGTAAAACACACATACATATACACACAACGCAAATGTGAAATTGAACTAGTTATCAAATGCCAGTATTCTGTATCCCAGTCCTGTCAAACGAAGATAATAAACCATCAGTGACAAACATGTCAAAACCTTACAAATACAATGAACAGAAAACTGCAACATATGTGAATCCAATTAATCATAAAAACCTTAAATTATTTATGTATCAGACTGTTAGCAGCACATTAAAAAACTACAGTTAATTAGTTACAGATTCCATGAAGAGACTGAAGCAGATTTATAAGAAAGAGAAGTGTGACATTTTTGCTATCTTAATTAACAAAGTATAAGACCAACGTATTTGGAAAGGAGAAAATTGTAGGTAAAGAAAAACATAGAGTGGCACTCTGTGCATAGCACGTGTCTGTCTCGTCTTGATGCCACAAGCTCACACAGGTACCAGGTGGCATGTTCATATTGAGGGAGGGGTGATGAGAAAGGACACACAGAGACAAGAAAGAGATGGTGCTCTATCTAAGTTTGTATCACATCTTTATGCTATCCTATCAATCTCTGTGTCACAGTCTTGATGTCATATGGCCACATGCAAGACGAATTTAACTTTTGGGTGGAGATTGGAGCATGTGGACATGTAGACATGTGTAAGCACACATGTATGTTTGTGTTGTCCATTCATACATGTGTATGCCTCTTTGTCTCTTTGCATGTGCCACCATCTTGATTTCGCAAGCGCGCTATGAAGACCAGCTGTCATCTTTGATACCTGGATTGTGTGTGAGAGCCCTAGTGCAGCATTTAATATCTTGGTGATGTGCGATACCTAGCTGAGAAGTTACATGTAACTAGGAGACATAGGGGACGTTTGCATAATATTTGAGTTCTTTGGTGTGATATGCAATAATTCAGGTAGGCTATTTTCGGAAAGAAAAACTTTGATGAAGTTTATATTCAAGGCAGAATAAGATTTGAAAGATCAAGTGAGCCAATAAAACGTATTTATTGGTACATGAAGCATGACTTTCCACTTTGTTTTTTGTTGAAAAGACAAAGTTAATTCATCTGCTAGATACACAAAACTAAAAGATCCGGGGTAGGAAATGTAATTTGTTATTTATTGGTACATGAAGTATGCTTTCCACTTTGTTTTTAATTTGAAAGACAAAGTTAATTGATCTGTTGGATACACAGGACTAAATACATGAAAATTTAAGTATGATAAAAGTGTCCTACGAGTATTAAAACTATTTTCCTTATTTTTGAAACGTGGCATTGTTGGCGTGAGAAACCAATTGTTTGGATATGAACATTGTGCACATACGTAATTTCTGGTAACCATGTTTGTCTACCATATGAAACTTCTAAAAAATTGAAGCGCATGTGAAACTCGCAGAACAAGATCTAAACGATTATAAATAGGTAGTACCACAGAGATACCTGCTCAGGTGTTGAAGATTCCTACAGCAGAATCTGGGATTTTAATTGTTCAAGTTACACAGATAGCTCATATGAAACAATCAAATCCCGATTTCAAACGGACTACCAAGGTCAAAGGGCACTTCTACTTTCAAACACGGGATCTGGGTTGTGAATCCAAGAACAGAGAAGATTTTGTCTTATTAAAACAACCCTTTGCAGGGTTTTGGCTTTTGAGGGTTTCGAAACAAGTTTAGGTCAGAAAAAGTGCAGTATAAGCAACAAAACGTAATGGTACCCGGCCAAATTTGATCAATTTATAGCACCTGTTCCCCTGTTTCTCTTCAATAATCCATCAAAATCACTCCTTTTTTGTAAAATAGCGCTCAAAATCACTCCTCCACCCAATTTGCACCCCCATCAAAAGACAAATTTCTGGCACGGGATCATAAACCCTAGAGCGAAACCAACACCAAAAAGGCGCCCAAGTATCAAAAGGGAAACAAAGATGGTACCTTTTGAATCTGCTCGGTGGTGATGTTGGCGGGAGGGACTGAGCCCATGGGGCCCAGCGGATGCGCTGACGGCGGCGGAGCCTGCTGCATGACTCCTATCAAGAAATCTGAGTCTGTATTACCAAGTTACGAAAATGGCGGCAAAAAGTCCGAGAGGATGAGCAAACAACACCTTTTTTTGGAAGAAAATTAAGAGAGAGAGAGAGAGGCGACAATTTGGGGAGATGGGGAGGAAGAAGTGGTTGAGGGCAGTAGTTCCAAATGCGAGCGTGTGAAGCCTGACGACGCCCACCTGACACTGTCTATTATGAGCAGCAGCCTGTTTGACTCTATGTCCCCACTGTATTAAGATCATTAGATTTCCGAATTCTCATTATTAGGGTCTATTTAGTTGTCCTTTTTTTAGAGTTTTTTTATTGTAATACTTGAGATATTAGACGCTACAATATTATAACTAACCCCTCTGTTTAGTGGGTTAAAACTACCGCGTTATAGCTGAGTTGATAGCTACTGTAGCAGAGTTGGCAAACCCTCAACACTTCCTCGCTAAAAGTTAGCAAATAGGGTCGCGTTATTGTAGCTGTCAGGCACAGCTGGACCACTCAATTCTGTGGTACTGTAGCAACTATGCGTTATACAAAAAAGTAACCAAACATACCCTATTCATATCCAAACGTTGCCTTTTTAGTGCATATTTATCGCTATTACTAATGTTAGTTATCAGACAGAGGGTTTATGTGTGAATTATAGATGTGTTATGGTCCATTGATCTCCTTTGATGGTTGTTCCCCAATGGTCATGCAAAACTGCAACACGTTAGAGGACCAGAGTTGGCTTCTCCAGTGATTCCTTCGACAATCAAGTCAGTATTTGAGCTTGAGCAGAGAAGTAATATGAAAATAGTGTGTTCTTTAGCAAGAGATTGCTTACCTATGTGTTGTAGACCGTCCCTCTATTTATAGTAGGTACAGAGGGGCGATTTTATAATTTTGGCTAAGTCCAAGCAAACTACTTAGTCAGTAGTTACTTGACATGTGTCTATTGTGGGTGTCATGAATCACCTTTGTGATCAATGTGATGTTGACAGAGGAGGCATGGTGCTGATGGAGCCTAATGAGTCAAAAAGACTATTGGGGCTAGAGCAATGATGACTCTGACAAATGCATTAATATGATGGTGACTGGCTGTTAGCGCGGGGCTCGAGAATGACTGCCTTTTGACCCGGCCTGGGGAGAAGGGTCGAGTCGGCCTGGCGAGAAGGGACAACTTGGCCTAGCGAGAAAGGATGTTGGTCTCGCCCTAGCGAGAAGGGATGTCTGTCTGGCGAGCAGGGATGTCGATCTCGGCCCAGCAAGAAGGGCGAGAAAGGATGCCTCCTGGTGAGAAGGGACGACTCGACTTGGTGCCTTCGCCATATCAATTGTAAATAATAGGTAATAATAGCATGGCACTTCGAGTTCGATATGAGCAAACTAGTATTGTTTTTCCTAACATGACATTTTGTATCGAGATAGTAGTATGAAATGAAGGTGAGACGTCTGTCTCAGCCTGGCAAGAAGGGATGACTCGGCCTTTTGAGAATGGACGACTTGTACCTTCTTTTTAGTCGGCCTCGCAAGTTGTCGACTCGGCCAGACGATAAGGGACGACTCGGTCTGGCGAGTAGGGATGCATGTCTCGACCTGGCGAGAAGGGACGACTCGGCCAGGTGAGAAGAGACGCCTATCTCGGCCTGGCGAGAAGGGATGACTTGGCCTGGAGAGAAGGGACAACTCGTATTACCTTTTTAGTCGGCCTCGCAAGCTGTCGACTCGGCCTGGTGAGAATGAACGACTCTGCCTGGCGAGAAGGGATGTTTGTCTTGGCCTAGCAAGAAGGGACGACTCAGCCAGGCGATAATGGACGACTCGACTTGGCAAGTAAGGATGCCTATCTCGACTTGGTGAGAAGGGATAACTTTTTTTTGTCTGTCTGCATTGAGTTGGGGTGTAGTCTGCTTAAGACATGTGTTAACAAGTTGAATGCGATTAACACTTGTTTATTTCTATGGCACAACAGCTATGCATCGTTATATTTTTTTCTATTCTATGGTACATGTATAGGCTTAATTTATATTTGGATTGGGAATTTAAAGATCTCTATTTTTTTCTAGGTTGATATTAGCTTCTTAATTTTTGTTATTTTAAAGGGGAAATCTCAATAAAATACATCTATTTTTATTTTATTTTTTGTTGCTATTTTTCTTACCTTATTATATATTATTTTTTAATAAAAGGTTCTTTTCAATATTGTTCTCTTGAAATTCATTATATTTTAAAATTAGTCCCTCAAATTATTGAGATTAATATTTATTTCCTCAATTCTTATTAGTTGCTTTAAATTCGGACCCGTTTGGATAGTGAAAGTATAAGAAGTAAGAGCATCTCCAAGAGTGATCTTAGATTTTCCCTATATTTGATGAGCAAATCTTTCATCTTAGAAAATAAGGAGCCAAATAAGGAGTAAGTGCTCCAACAATGCTCCCCAAATAGCTCCCTATCTCATGTCTTATACTAAATATAGGGAGTAGGAGGGGGGGGGGGGGACAATGTTCTCTATGTTGAGACTAAATATAGGGAGTCACTTTGTTATCCTTAATTTGGAATACCAAATCCTATTCCCTATATTTAGTCTCCAACATAGGTAGCCTGTTGGAGCAATTTCCCCCCCTTATACTCTCTATATTTAGTCTAGGACATGAGATAAGGAGGCTGTTGGAGATGCTCTAATAAGAGCAAGTGCAGCAAGCTCCCAGTTGGGAGTCCTAGTCAACAAGCTCTCAAGAGCTCTCAAGTATTTTAGAATAAAAAATTAACAAATTAAGCCTTGGGAGGCACTCATTCTTTTATGGAGCTCCAACAAGCTCCTAGTTAGGAGCTCCAACAATATCAAAAAAACCCCTCTTCTATTTTAATATTTTACTCATTACTTTTAATTATATTTAAACCTCTTGTATTTTATTTCTAACCGTTGGATACGGCCTTCGAGTGAGCACACACGGTCTTCGAGGCAACCCACGGTCTTCAAGGGAACGTACACGGTCTTCGAGGTAACCCGCGGTCTTCGAGGTTGGGCACGAAGTTCGAGGTATCACAAACTTTGACCACAACCGACTGATTCCTATAAAATTCAACGGCTTCTCTCCTCAACCCATCATCTCCCAGAATAAAATGTCTAGCTCATCTAGCTCTAGCGATGATGAAATGATGAAGACGTTCTTTCTTATTCGAATCCACGACGCAGTCGTCGAACATGACAAGTACTTCGTCCAAAAGAGGAATGGTGCTGGACAGTTAGGACTATCTAGTCTTCAAAAGATTACTGCAGCTATGCGGATGCTCGCATATGGAGCATCCGCTGACTCCGTTGACGACTACGTTCGGATCGGTAAAAGTACGTCGCTTGAGAGCGTGAAGAGGTTCGTTCGATCGATTATCAACATCTTTGGAGAGGAATACCTTCGTGCACCGACTAATGAAGACGTTGCACGCCTGCTCGAGGAAGGCTCACAACGAGGTTTTCCTGGTATGCTTGGGAGCATCGACTGCATGCACTGGACATGGAAGAACTATCCAACTACTTGGCAAGGTATGTATACTGGACATTTTCATGAACCTACAATTATTTTGGAGGCCGTAGCTAGCAAAGATCTTTGGATATGGCATGCCTTCTTTGGACTGCCAGGGTCTCACAATGACCTTAATGTTCTACATCGTTCACAGGTTTTCGCACAACTTGCGGAGGGAAGAGCTTCACCGTGCAACTATACTGTTAATGGCCAAGAGTATAATATGGGATACTATCTCGTCGACAGGATTTACCCAGAGTAGTCCACATTAGTGAAGACTATTCCAGCACCTCGAGAAAACAAGCATAAGTACTTTGCTCAACAACAAGAAAACGCAAGAAAAGATGCTGAGCGAGCTTTTGGCGTGTTGCAAGCTCGATTTGCGATTGTTCGTGGACCAGGACGTTTCTGGCAACCTTGTGTGCTAAAAGATATCATGACAGCTTGTATCATAATGCATAACATGATCGTTGAAGATGAACGTGATTGTCAATTGGACAACAACTTCGACTTTACTAATTTGGTACCAGTCGTTGAACCTTCTCATGTGCAGACGATGCCTCTAACTGAGTTCATCCAAAATCATCATCGGATCAGGAACACGCAAATACACAAATCACTAAAAAATAATTTGATCGAGCATCTGTGGCAGCTCAAGGGATCCATCGCCGAGGATTAAGTTTCTTTATGTCTAATGCAATTTCAGAAAAGGAGTTCAAGTTGTTGTACTACGTCAATTTCATTTTCAATAAAGTTGTTTTCATTCAATGCCAAAATTTTCAACTTCAAGTACAATCATAAATCTAATACAAGATAATATTTGATAATTAGGAAGAACTAATGAGGATGCGATGCGAGTACAATATATGATAATTAGGAAGAACCCTTGGACATCCACCTCTCCAATATCTCTGCTTGACGCATTTCAAAGTATTGTCATTGAACTGAATTGAGTGTTGAGAGATCCATCTTCATGATATCATCATCTTGTTTCTTCTGTTTTAGCTCCATTTTTTCTTTGTTGGTTTGCTTCATCCACGCGAAAGCCTCTCCCATGATGGACTTAGCGGACTCACCTCTTTTCACATTTTGTTTCCTCTTGAGCTTTGCCGCTTTCCTCCCTTCAGGCCTTGCTATAACATCATCCGAGTCAGTGTTCAACTCGATGGGGGTTGCTGGCATGGAATTGTTTGGTGAGGAATCAGAATTTGTGGTTCTTCTCGGCAGTGATCGAATCTTATTGTAAGTTTCTATTTGTTGGATCCACTTTTGATGATGACGCAACTCAACCCAGCAATGGTCAAATACGAATGGCTTACCGTAAAGAGATTGATATAATTCTTTTACTTCTGCTGTCTACACAAGAGTTAAATTTAGAGTAATCAAACATATAAGTTAAATATTTATATAAAAACATATAAGTTAAATATTTACATGGTCAATAATTCCCGTACCAGATCTTTGTCTTCCTTCAATCTGAGCAATGCACCCGCAGAACTTGTTGACAGACAGTTGAATCATTGACCAACGGTGCATCATTTGGTTTGGTGTGCGGCTCGTTGGATCGGTGGAGTATTGGATAAAGTAGTTGTTAGCTCTTTACCAGAACTTATCTTTGTGTTGCCCCGTATCTTAGATGGCGTCTTGGCTCGTGTTCAGCCAAGCAGACACAAGAAGCTTATCTTCGTGGACAGCCCAATTTTCGGACCGCGTGTAAGCCTTCTTCTTCTTTGTGGTTGGTGTTTCTTGGGATGTCACTTGTTGTGTTGCGGATTACGATAACTCGATGGGATGACCTTCTTCTACGACTTCTGTATAGAACGGCGAGTATAAGGTCGATCCTTCACCAGTAAGGAGTTGCGAATAATAGTTGTTTTGGGAGGGATCCATGAGATTTATAATTTGATAGGAAAATATAGAGTTTTTTTATGAGAGAGTTGTGTGGAATGATTTGTGTAGTGAATTGTGAATTTATAGAGCTTTTTTTCTGTTCAACGGTCATTTTTTAACGGCAGTATTTTTAACAGCATATTTTCACTCAACGGACATTATTTCCCAGCAACGGTCATTATTTTTATGGAATCTTGTGCATAAAAATCAAAACTCTGTCGCCCCAAATAACACCGCGGTAGCGAATTAAAAAAAAATTTAACATCAAATATTCGTTATCTCCGTCGCCCCAAATCATCTCCCCAACCGAGCGCCCCTTCTTCTTCGTTTCGCCAAATCTTCATCTCCGTCATCTCCCTTGCTCGAATGCAGTCCTCAAATCTTCGTTTCCCCAATTTCTATTTCGAATCCAGTCCAGGCCGTTCATCTCCCCAACCGAGCGCCCCCAAATAAAGGGTTCCCCAACCGAGCCCCCGTCGAATCAATCCC